CAATACACTCCTGATGGGTCTTGGCAGAAGTGATCTGTGAGCTACTCAGGCTGGGCTAGTTTTTGACACACCCAGAGAGAGAACTGGAAGCAGCCAAGAAAAGCCACATGAGGGGATATTTAGTGAGCTGAAGGGAGGGAAGTCAGACTGTAATTTCGTACAGCTCTTGGCAGAGAAGTCCTCTTTTGAACCTTGTTCATAGTTTCTGAAATGTGTTTAGTTTACCTTTTGTGCAAGAAGTGCTGGAATGTGGAGGAGGGATATTAGTTCTGCACTCTTGGACACCAGCACACAGACGACCACAGAGAGATGGTCCTTCGAGTCCATGAACTAGAGTCTCTCATTACTGGATGGTATTGCAACACTGTGAACCCCTCTATTGCTGCCATGCTGCAGTCAGTTGAGAAGTTAATATAGCTCCGTATTTATCTCTAAATTATGCACTGGCAACATCCTCAGTGGGGGAATGTAACGAAAATAGCACCCCGATTTGCCCTCCACTGTACAGAGGTCCAGAGGCTTGGTGAGCTGTAGGTTGCCAGCTAATCTCCATTGTTTCTACTTTAGGTCTTGCAATGACTCCTAAGTTCCACAACCCATTTTACACCTTGTGAAAGCAGACTTAATTTCTTGTTTATTATTTTGCATCTTCCTCCTGGAAAAGATGAAGAATAATTACTGCTAGTGCAAAATGAGCAGCCTTGGCACAAGATAGTTATGACTACTCAAATTCCAGGCATGAGGTTCTCATAAGAACCTCAGTGAAACTTACAGGAAACTTTCCAGAGAGGCTTTATCTAAAGTCTAAAGGCACGGACATACTGTACTCCTAAAATCCCATAGGCACATAATCCTATTCAGCCCTTTCCTAAAGAATGATTAGCAAAAAGGTCTACAAAGCCTACTTATTTCACAATACTAAACTGCTTCCAGTGCATTCCCAGATGTCAAATTCCCTTTACATTCCCAATGCAGTAGCCAAACTCTTCAGCTTCTTTCTTTTGACAATTTCCACTGTGCACAGAGGGATGCATAATTACAAAAATCTGTGGTGGCCTAAGTGAATGTAAAAGTAGGAAAAAGATGAAATAATATGCAGTATTAACTATTAATTCAGGGAAAATCTAACACTGTGATAAATAGTGCCTAATCATGAATGCGTTTAAGTCATTGCTGAAATGTAATTCCTGGGGCATGGTGAGGCAAAAGAAGGAGGGCTGAAGAAAGATCGACATTGCAAGGATATTAAACTCAACTAATATACTCCTATTATCGCAGTCAGCAAGAGTAAACAGCAGTTGTTTCTAAATATCTCCTTTTTACACTGCCTGTTCCAATACTTAATATACTGCTCAAAATCTTAGCCCCTGAAGGCATAGGATTACATCAGTTTCAGCTGTCATCTTCTTCTCCCCCTAAAGCAGGTTTTAAAAATGGAAACGTGAAGCTAGTTCACTCAAAACCTTCACAAGCTGGGAGACAAACCAACCCACCAAGCTTTTTTATGCCATGACTTTCAGAAAACCTCACAGGTGCTTTTGTTTTCTGGGTTTAATTATAGAAGTTAGAAATACTGGAACAGAGGCTGTGTCAATGACCGAACATAGGAGCCAAATTAACAAGCAGTAAATGACTCAAAGCAGATGTAGCTCTACATAAACAGAAATGTACAGGAGGGACAAAATACCTGCAAGGAGATGATCAGGATGAGCTCTTTGCAAGGTTCAGGAAGGCGGAAAGCAAGCACTGCACTTGCTTTGACATCCTGCATTTGGAGTGCTAACTACAAGTAGGAAACAAGGTACTCCTCTGGTGGAGCAGGTTTACTGAAAAGCTCTAGATGGCTACTGTAACCCTTAGAGACAGGCAGTCATTAAACTACTCCTATCCTACAGCCTCTGCAGGCCTGAGTCAAACCAAGATCGTATATGGGAGAGAATCAGGAACAGTGCTTTTTGACTTTATATTCCAGCTCCTGTAAACCTACCTGTCATCCTTCTCTGAAACCTCCTCCTGTCATGGGCTAGTTATTAAGTGTCCCAAACCACCTGTTAGATCTGTTAAAAACCTTTGAGAAAGAAAACTGGTAACAATTATTTCTTACATACCGCTTCAGTTTTAATTTACATTTCAATGCATATTATTATCAGCTCAGGAACAGCCAGGACTGTATGTGAATTCACATATATTGATATGAATACAATCTAGGAGAAGGGAAACACATAACTCAGACACAGTGACTTTATTTCACTTCATTACTATAATCCTGATCACTGTAATAATACAGAATGTGTAGTGCCACAGGTTGGCCAGCACACCGCACACTGTGCTTTCCAATCCTAAGGCTGGATATGGAAAAAGAATAGATTTGTAAATACTGTGGAAGGAAGAGACACAAATTGTATACCCTGTCCCAAACAACACTGCATGGATGAAGAGCATCTCATTCTTACCCATGACTTTACTTGAAAACCTGCATGAACAAAACGCTGAGAAAGATGTATACTCCAAAAGAAGGATGCTCTGACACAAAGTTAAGGGGCTATAATGGGATACCAGCACTACTCCCAGTATCTTTTCTCTGTTCAAACAGCAAATTAATTGTCACACACACCTCATTGAGGATGTTTATGACATAATTCACAGACATGCACAGCCAAAAAGGTCATGCTTTGAACCTATAAATTACTCACACATTTTACATTTTAAATAAACCTGTATATTTATTGTACAATAGTACAGCATGTGCCTTTTAACCCAAAAGCTCAGCATCACACAACACTTTAATCTTCCATTTAAACATACACAGTCCTACAACACAGCTCAGTTTAGCTAGGAAAGCTACATAATGAATTAATTTACTGAGAGTCCTGGCTACGCTGTTCTTAGGGATGTTTATCTACAGCAAGAACAGTGGCAGTGGTTCTGGTGTTGTAACATTTAATCACTTTAACCTGTTCTCAGCACAGCAATAGCAAGCAGTCATCTAGAGCAAAACGAAGAGATCACTTAAGGGGCACCACATTGAATCGCAAACGCATGGAAGAGTAGACCAGAGGTCCTCACACGCCTAACACAAGTACAGATTAGAAATCTGCTATGAGATCACTTTGATGTAATGTCTGTGCTAACTATGCCACAAAATCCACCACACAGGGAAACTGGGTGCATGACAGGCATTGCACCACGTAGTGTTAAGAGTTAGAAATTGTTAGGCTTGGAATGGGCAGAGCAGGGTGTTCTTTACAAGTACACACTTGCCTTATTACATTAGTTTACAGGTCAGAAATGTAAATATGGTGGCCTGTAAGCCACTCCTGTAGCCATTTGTCCACATGCCAGCAGCCTTTTATTATAAATCACCTTTATACTGTTTACTTCTATTTTGCCTGGTTCAGTTGAAAGCAGTATCATTACTTCCAGACACAGGGTGTGTTTTTTGCTACGTGTCTTAGCCTTTCAAATTGCCATGAACACCAGAGCTGGTGTAACTGGGCGCCCTTTATGCACACTCTTGTGTACAGCTAGTCACCAGCTGTTATCAAGACACATTAAGATAAGATTGTTTGTCACAGCAGTTCTTCACAATGGAGATTCAAAGTTCATCACTGCATAATGACTTACAGCAAGTGAAGTTCCTCTCAAGTTTGGAATTAAATAACTACTACTCAAATGATCTTATGTAACTTATCTTACATAGCACACTCTTGATCAGAGGAAGTTTTTGCTTTTTAATTGCTATTCCATTTATCAATGTATGTCAAAACTTAAGCCTGTTACTTTAAAGGATCAAGGGGCAATGACAACAAACTAGAACACATGAAGTTCCATCTGAACATAAGGAAAATCTTTTTTACTATGAGGGTGACAGAGCACTGCAAAGGCTGTGAGAGATTGTGGAGGCTCCTTCTCTGATGTTACTCAAAACCCATATGGATGTGCAACCTGTTCTAGGTGAATCTGCTTTAGCAAGGGTTTTGGACCAGCTGATCTCCAGAGGTCCCTTCCAACCCCTACCATACTGTCATTCTCTGAAGTGCTATTTTTAGTAGATTTTCAAATTGTCAGAAAACAGTATTTTCAGTATTTTTAAATACTCAAAGGAGGGAAATTAGGATCCTACACATGAACATGTGATTTTTCCATTTACCAAAGAAGCATGATAGTGCATTGTTGGTTGATCTGAACAGTACTGAACTCCTACAGCATCAACTAAAATAATATGCTAATCAAAAGACATACCGTGATACTAAAGAAACAGAGGAAGGAACTCTATATCGAACATCTGATCTTGAATTAAAAAAGGCCAGCAATAGTGTGTAAGCTTTCAAACAGATGATATGCTTAGCTGCTATCAAGTAGAATACTGGCAGTGGTTTCAGAAGAATTATACCAAACCTGCACCCACTATGGATCACGTGTATTCTCTGACTCGGCAAATTCCACTCATCTTACACAAAATACCAAAGTAAGTTAATTCAAATATACTAAAAAAAAAAATGGGAGGAAGAAGTTTCTTTCTAAATCAAAGTTGCTTTTCCTGTCATCTTCAAGTATTCGTGGAAAATGTCACCTCACAAGAAATTTTCACTTATCTGTCTTGTTTCTAGTTTTAGATAAGCATTAGAAACAAAGTGAAAACAAAACCATCCTTGGCTTATGAGACTAAATGCATGTCCTCAGTAGACTTCCAGTTCACTGTCTAAACTGTATGTTTGGGTAGCTTTAAGTGAGCATCCGGACTTAGCTGATTATCTAGACAGCATTGACACGTGTCAAGATTGGTGAAAGTGTAGTTTCTAACAAAACCAGACATCACCTGAAACTACTTTTTTCTTGCTGTAAAACAAACTCAGACAGCACGTTAGCAAGATACGCAAGCTTTTCTTCTTTGCCCATTCAGAATTTTTAATTTGATTAATAACTAAAACGATAGAATTAAAACCTAATCTTGAAATATCATTAACAGTTTAAGGATTAAAGCCCTGCTATATCTTGAATTCATTCTATGCCATCTTTAATAAAAGAGATTACACAGATTCCTTCTGCTTACTAAAATGAAGTCAGCTTATGTTCCTTACATATTTAAATAGCCCCAAGACCAGAGACACAGAAAATATTATACTGAATTTTAATCCTCATAAAATATTATTACACCACACACTGTTATTTCAGTTTATTTCTTTTCAATAACATCCATTATAGAATTCAGTAAAGAGCACTGTCTACTACTATGCACTGTCAAGTATTTCTGGCAGTATTAGGAATTGACTACAGCATATTTCTTTTATAAAAATCAAGAGTTAACCTACATATTCTGAATTTGCAAATAATACACTACTGATTGTACTTCCATACCAGCTGCAGAGACAATCACTCTTTTTTATTCAGATTTGTATATAAGAGTAAATTTTCTATAACAATATGAAAGAAAATTAATAACTTATTTATCTAGCTAGGAGGATACCAGTTATTTGTAATCATATTAATCAAAAGATGACTGAAAAATTCAAAGTTAATTATTGTGAAGTGCACAAAATCTAGAATAGAGGGACTTTACACAGTACATTATACTAAGTCAACATATAATAGATTAAAAGCTGAAAAGCCAAACGCTTAATTTAAAAATTTAGTGTTTCTGACATCATCTTCCACCATTCCATCAACTCTTCTTTCTCCTCTTCTTTTCTTTCAGACAAAGATTCCAGTTCAAAATCAACCTGAGTAAGAGAAACAATCAAAAATATGGGTAAGACTTACAGAAAGAACGAAGTGTAGGCTTTTAAGAGTCACTTATTAAAAGATGTTGTTTAACACAAACATGGGGCTTAGGGAAGTACCTTCCATTTTAGGCTAAGTTTATTCCAAAGCATCTCAAGGCTGATTTAAATACCTGCAATACTACCATATCAGTATAATAAACTTATCAAAAAATGCACACAGATGAGAAAAATTTCCAAGAGAAACCAGACATCTGTCCAGTCTTTGACTTGTCTAAAAATTCCAAAAAATATTGACCAATGAAATTAAATTAATAGCCAGCTACAAAAATCACTTAGCATATAATAAAAAGTATTATCAGCATATTGCTGTCTAATACCTAGCAACTTACATATGGCTCATGAGCGTGGATTTAATGTGCTAGTGTAGCATAACCTAGCTTCTGATGCACACGAGAGAATAAACATTTATTTTAATTGTTAAGAGTGGAATCCAAGCTTGTACAGAGGATGAGTCAAAAATGCTTCTAAATTCTTAGGTGCAGCCTAGGTTTTATTCACCACACATGCTGGGTATTCACATAAAGCAGTGCTCCATCACTATCTTTCTGCACAGAGCTGAACACTGGATTTAACTTGCGTAGGTACTCACTTGACAGTTTAGATCAAAAATAGTTCTCAATGAAAACCTCAACGTCTCTTACTTTTTATGTCATGCAATTTAAAGGTATTTTTTAATCTTCTGATTGGCAATTTGCACATCAATAAATAAAGCTTAAGTATCTCTCAATGTTACCCTTCTCTGTGTCTTTTCATTTTAAGTAAGACCAGCAGGAGATGAAATGAGTTTACAATGAGATTTTTCTCCTTGGCTTGTGCAACAAGTAAGTATTACAAGCGCAGATTTCCAGACTGTCTTCTAAATTCTGAAAAATCACCTCCTGTTTACATGTCTACTATAAAAGAAAAAAAAAAAAAAAAGAAGGAAACCTATTTTATACATAATAGATGACAAACCAACCCACATGTGAGTACTCACCACAACCGCAGGGCTAAAGGGCACGGCCACTTTTTTAGTTATTGCTAGATAGCCTGGTGCTGAGGCTGTAAGTTTGTAATTTCCAGGTACAAGCAATCTCCAGTAGTCACCATCCTTGGCTGTAGAGAAGAAGAAAAAAAAATCCAAATAAATATGCATAAAACTAATTATATAGCTAAGAAGAAGGGACTGTGCATCTTGTCAAAGTCTTTTGTATTCCTGTCAGCCTTTTCCTTTTGTTTGCCTGAAAGGATTCTTCTGTAAGGACTGTATAAATATACCATTACAGATTTTCAGGTAACCAAAACACAAGTTTAAACTCTGAAGTTATGCTGGAGCCTCCATGAAAGATTCTGCCTTCTGAGGCTGAAGGCTCTCCAGCACACTGAAAAACAGTACAACATGGGACGTTATTCTATTTTAGAAGCACCCCCTGGGCCAATGTACAGCTCCTGTTAAGTGTCTGAGTTTCAGTTTGCAGTGTGATGTGAATTCTTAATGTCTCGCAGTATTCTGAAAATATAAATGTAGATAAACATTTAAATAAATAGGACCACCTTTCTCAATTATTCTTGCAGAGAAAGCTATAAACCATAATTTCATAGAATATTTCACATGTATCACCCTTGAAGCATCATTATCTATATGTTCTGGTATCGAGACAAAGACCAGGGCTTTTTTCTTCTGTTTAGCTGAACAAAGAAATGAAAGTTTGATCTACTCAGGTCAAAGAAAGGCTCCTACTGCACTAAGTGCTACTAAGATCATCCTTTTCAGTCATAGAATAAAAGTACACCATTCTCTTCTGTAGAGATGAGCCTCTCCCATTTTCACAAAGACTCAGATACTCCCCGCACCAGACGTGGGCAATTACCTAATTTGTCACAGGCTAATACTCTGAATTTCTCTATCTCCAGAAAAAAATTGCAATGCTGTTCTAAAGGTCGTTAGCAGTGCCATTGAAAAGGCTTGGCCACGCTCTTACTGCCAGCTCCCTAAATGCTTTTTCAGTACATCTGCAGCTACACAGCACACAGAGGGAAATATTACTTAAATGTCTTCAATCCACACAGTCAAAAAAATGTCAGTAGTCAGTCCAGTTGTTCCCAGACTTTTCATAAAACAGAAAGGAAAAAAATACTGCTGCAGAGCTATGATAATGATCTATTCTAATTCCTGGCACTGGAACAAAGCTGAATTTCAACTCACAAACAAAGAAGCAAGGAAAAAAAAAAAAAAACAAAGAATATTTACCCTTCTTTTTGAATGTGCTAAAACTTAAGCTTTTATTTTCCTCATTGTTTTGACAATATACGAGTTCCAGGCTTATACACACAATGATATGAGAGGATACATGATTGCATGCTTTTTTGTACTATAGAAGCATATGCATCACTCTTCCATACCATAAAACACCTCTTTGCACAGCTAATAAGCTTTTTACTATCCCTGAAAATTTATTTCCAATCTCCATACTTTTTTTCTTCTTATATAGAGTGGAAGAGGACAGTTAAAGCTATCACAGATTGTTGTGCTTGGCAGGAATGCTGGCCTCTTTGCAGGTAATGTGAGAACAAATATAAATCAAGGCTGACTAAAGTGTTTACCAGTCCTGGTTCTTAGCATTCTGCATTTCTGTAACAGCACAATGAGATTTATGATTGGGAAAATTACTGTAATGTAAACTCATGCATAAAGCAACAACATTTTATTATTGTTTTTCTAAATAACATCTTGTGCAAGAAAAAAAATGTTCATAATAGGAAAGCACAGGTCTACAGGGAAGACTGTCAGCAGTGTGAGCTACCTTTGAATTCATTCTTGGAACAAAGCAGAAAACCACCAAAGACATGACACACAATTTTCTATGAACACCAACATGATACTTTGCATATTTAGAACCATCCTTCCGAAAAAAAGTCATATAATCGTACATAGGAGAGAGAATTTATCTTCACAGAAGGAAGTTATGTAATCTGAAAATCTGGTAAGAATTTACTTACCAAAAGGTGTGATCACATTGTAGGTAGTATTAACACCTATGGACTACCACTTAGCCTTCAAACTCAAAATGGCATTGTCGGCAGGACTTTAAATACCAGCAGAACTGTGAAACACTACTTGCACCACAAATCAGAAGATGAACTAAGCACAAATTAACCAAGAACAACCAGAACCAATTCATGCCAACGATCCATGAAGTCCCAACAACCAGTCTCCATCCAGCTGAGAACCAACTACAAGAGACAGATCCATTAAATCCTGCAGGCAACAACCTTCTTCAGGCACAGCATGCTTTCCTGGATTCAGAATTTTGCTCCCTTAAAGCTCCAGCTAATACGATCTGAAGTGGCTCCAGGCTGCCAAGCAGAGGGAGTAACAGTATATTCCAGCACTTTTTGTTTTGCTGAGGTACAACACTCACCTGATGTAATGTCATGGCTTATCCCCTCCACAGAAATTGTAGCATTTGCTATCGGATTGCCCTGAAGATCTTTAACAAACCCCTTCACTCCTCGATGGATCTAAAAAAAAATAAATTCAGCAACATATGGGAAATAACCAGAAAATTCTTCAGAAAGGACAATATTTTTGTCCCTGAAACATCTATTTATCTAGCTCACAATGCATGTTACAGATCCTACAGTCTACATGCCAATAGCTATCAAGGGTAATTACTAAACATCATAATGGAACAAATAGTGAAAATGAAAAATAATTCAGTTGGTAGTTAAACTAATATTTCTGTGCAATGCCAGCATTTCTCAGAAATATGCAGCAACTCATAACATGTGAAAACTGACTTCAAAGTCTTTGTCACTGAGAACAAATGAATGTGCTGAAAAGCTTTGAAAGACAGCCTAAATAAAAACCCAACTTTTTTTCTTCAGTTTCATCAACTGTAAGAATTTAGGGCTAATAATGGGCACAACTGCTTGAAAGTGAAACATTAACAAGGTTAAATGCTGGGCACTTGGAAACTGAGCGATCCCTGTGTAAGATGCACAAGACCTCTACTGTGCATACAAAACATCCAGGTCTTTGAGATGGGATCATGTAGTCAAAACACTCTTCACGCAGCCAGTGAGAGAAAAGTGATGGTGGGTCATGTCCTAGTTCCTCCTTGTCTCTTAGGCAACATACTCCAGGCAACTGCACCTAATCTCTCTGTTCGCCAGCAGACATGAAATTCAAGCACAGATTTGACCATAGTGTCCAGAGAGACCAGTCATGCTGGTAGTCCTGAAGCATGGTCTGAGCAGACCGAGCTCCTCAGAGGCAAAGAGACTATCAACTACCTTTTCACAGCCTGAGATAAGGAGCTCTCAGAGCTGGGGAGAAAGGGAAATTTTAAACCTGTGGAGAGATGTTTCTCATTGGGAACCTGGAAATTAAGTGGGGAAAGTACAGTAGCGTTCAGGCTTCTCTCTGATTCTGTGATATCTGAAAAGATTTGTGGATCACAAATTTTATTTTGAGATCTTGATGTTCCTCTTTAGGCACCTATATGGTGTATTCAGCTGCTATAATTTACTTCACCAGATTCCTCTGAGTTACACTGTGAGAGAGGCCTGACACAGATTGGCTTAGAAAAGCAGAAAGTGCACATTTGTGCTGTCTTCAGCAGTCATGGGGGAGCTGGAGCATAGAGCTGGGCCTCTCATCCTGTAACAGGATAGAAACCAATGCCAGATCAACCATCTCAGCTTCATGGATAAAGCCAGCAGCTCTGCAGGAGCAAAGGAAGTTGGCAAAATAATCTCTTACACATTAGTAATTTTGAAAATGCAGTGACAACATAGTTTTCCATGAGTCAGACAAAATTAAATCATGTGCAAAGGAGCTGAATGATTTGAGATGGATTCCATAATAAATGGGTAAAAACCTGTAGGGCAAGTACAGCTTTTTCCTCAGCCCACATACAACTTAACTAACAGAACAGTATAAATCAAATGTTTAAAATCTTCAAATATTTCAGATTATTGGCTAACTAAAGCATTTCTGCACAAATAAATTCTTAAAGAAATGAATGTATTGATTGACCAGCTCTGCTGTCTGTTTCTGAATTGCAATACCAGGTGTGCAGCCATTAATGATATCACATAGATGTGTGATCTCTAACTACAACATCCAAGTTTCAGAAATTCAATGCTCCCACACTGCTTGGAACCATAATTTCAGTACAGCCTGTTACTTTAGCATGAAATTATTAAAAACAACAACAAAAACCCAACAACACCACCAAAACCAAACACGCACGTAGATCTTTGACAACAGGATAGCCTACATGGCACCAGGAATACTAGTATCAAAGGGGAGAGATCTCTCTTGTAAAGGGCAGAGAATCCTTGCCCAGGAGATAGCAGGGCTAGTTCACAGGGCTTTAAACTAGATGGGAAGGGGGGCGATGTTAGGGTCATAAGTGACAAGCAACAGGACAATATTCCAGGGCCAGTGGAATGGCAGAACGAAAGGCTATTAGTCAAAGAACACCCTCATGGATTAAAGGGATGCCCATCTAAGTTGCTAACACATCCAGCATCCCAGCTGAAGTGCCTCTACACCAATGCTTGCAGCCTGGGCAACAAACAGGAGGAGCTGGAAGCTGCTGTGCTGCAGGAAGGCTGTGACATAGTGGCCATCACTGAAACTTGGTGGGACAAATCCTGTGAGTGGAGCGTAGCTATCGATGGCTACAAATTGTTCAGGAGGGACAGGAGCAAAAGGAAGGGTGGAGGTGTTGCCCTTTATGTTAAGAAATTGATGGAGTGTGAAGAGATGTCCCTTAAAAATAGCCATGAGAAGGTCGAAAGCTTATGGGTAAAGATCAGAAGCCGAGAGAACAAAGGAGATCTTGTGGTTGGTGTATACTACAGGCCATCTGATCAAGGGGAGCTTATTGATGAGGCCTTCTTAATCCAGCTACAGGAGACATCACGCTCCCAGTCTCTCGTCCTACTGGGGGATTTCAGCTATCCCAATATATGATGGAAAAGTTCCACAGTGAGCTGTAGGCAATCCAGGAGACTCCTGGAGTGCCTTGACAACAACT